ACAATTATATCAGTGTGACTAAATCTTTTGAACGTGTATTTCATATAAGTGTGTTTATTAATTTCTTTTTTTTTTTTTTTTTTTTGGCTCGGCGAAACGTGCATACTTTTTTTTATAAGAAAAGTACGTCAATACGGCCAACGGCCACATTCTGAAATCCCAACCTGTATAATCCTTTACAATTTTACCCCGTTTATACTGCCACTCAAAACAGTTATCTTCGTCTTTCTGTTGTTAATATGGTATGTACTGATTGGAGAGGGTGGTAAAGAGAGGTCAAGATCTCGTTTCACGGAAAATAAATTGTTCCTTTCACAATTCACGGGAAACAAAATCGGCATTTCACGTTTCACGAAAAAAATGGCATTTTTGGACTCGAACTTACGTAACTCATGACATTTGAAAGTTACGCCCAAGCACAGCCTCGTTAGATGTCTTTATCATCCGTCCACTTTTTGTTCTGGGCGCAGGAAATCAGAGGAAATCAGAGCAAGAACACTAAGTGATTATTGTCCTGTCACGGTCACGCAATATTGTTAATTACGGTCGAAACTAATAGAAGACCGCAACCAGAATCACGGTTCACCACGAATTAAATATTTTCTTCCCATTTCATGAAAAATTATTTTGGAAAATTACGATTCACGGCTTCTAATAAAATCACGATTCCCGAGAAAAAAAGTCAAGCCATTTCACATTTCACGGGAAAAAAATTAGGCCATTCATGAGTCACGAAAATACCCTTTACCACCCTCACTAAAGCTTCTCTATTTTTTTTTAGACCTACCCCGTTAATACGGCCAAATTATCGTGATCATGGCCCGTTGGTTACCGTATTAATTTAACGCGGTTCCACTGTAAAATAGCAAGGTATATATGAAAATTAATATCTTCGGAATTGCTTTTCTTTCTCATGATTACGATAACTGAGCTAGACTGTACCTAACACTCATTACAAAAACAGGGAGAGTTGAGCTAACTTTAATTTATGTTGACAATGTCATGGCTAACAATGTTGTTTTGGAAGACCTGATCCGTTCCGCCATTTTTGTGTGTTGCACATGTTAAGAACTTAATGATCTACGGCTACTATCAATTAATTTGTACTCACCAGTCTGTTTATATCAACAGGATAATCGAAAATGAAACCGCGTTAACAACAGCAACAACTGTTTCAAGAATAACAAAGAAGGAGTTAAGCATTAGCACTTATTCGCGTGACTTTATCTTCTCGCGTGACTCATTGTTAGAGCTCGTAACCCAGATAAAATTTGTCACGCGATCCGTGCAAATCTCTTGCAGTAAAAAGTATTTAATAGCATTTAATATTGACTTTTCTGTCGGAGTTATAACGTCATGTTTTGAAGCACGATGTAAATTTACGGTGTTTAAACCAAAATCAAGAAACTGAAATAACAGTGAGGGAATTCCCGTACAAGACGAGGTCAGACAATCACATTTGCAAATAGAGCAGCTGCAAAATAACTAAATGAAAGAGTTCTTCTAATGCGTGCTACATCCTTTCCTATCTTCATATTTTTTGTTAAATACCGTCGAGATAGTACGGTCCAGTAGCTTTTAAAATCATTTACATTTTGTTGACTTTGACTTTGAGCTTGTAGTAACAGAAAGACTAGCGAAGTTTTAACTGTGAATCTCGTTCGACCTTTTCTAAGTCTTTACTCTCAATCTCAAGACAAGAGAAATCGTAAATTTAATTCCTCGGTCTGTGACTACATAATTTAGTCTGCACGATTTGATCGATAAAACTTCTTCGTCATTTCCATTGCAACAGACCGTGACGTCATAGAACCGAAACAATTTCGAGTTCACGGGTAATCTTCCCTGTAGATGTCTCGCTTATATACTCTTCTTCGCTATCGTGGCTTTAAATTATTCTCGACTGGTCAAGATTAAACCACACAATAAAAGTTAAGTTGGTACTTACCACAATGAAGTTCGCTTTGAAAACTGAAAACTAGGAAACAATCCAGTGATACGAGAAAATCCCAAAATTCCGAGAAGACACATTATATAACGAAGTTAATCGCCGAGGCCTACATACAGAAAAAAAAAAAATTGTACTCACCACCTGGTTGGGATCAACAAAATGAAGACAAAATCAAACCACGTCGACAACAGCAACTGTTTCAAGAAAAGTAGAAAGGAAAGAAAGTTCACGGGGCTCAAAACAGTTTCCAGCTCTTAGATTTTGATGGGTCGTTATAAGCACTCTTTATCACGTGATGCTACAATCATAGTATCAAAAAAACTGCTCAATCATTGGTGAACACGATATTTGCGTGACACAATGAGTTACCACAGCAACAGTTTGACCTGCTAAAAACACCCTTCATTACAGCTTTAGGTGCTTATAATTCAAAAACAGCACGGTAAATTATTTTTTTATTATCAAATTTTAATAGGCATGATACGACGCTACTTTTGGAAAGTTTACAAAATTCTGTACATAGGGTTCAAAACGTTAAGGTGGCTAGGATTATTTACCGACGAACGTTGTTTCCTGCAAGCGTTTATTCGTTTGACTTAATTTTCCAAGTGAAGATCTGCCAGCCTTCACAATCCATGCAAATTTCTCGATCTCAGTAAAGATTATTTAATAGTATTTAACATCGCGTTATACTCATAGTTGTAAGCTCATGCTTTGAAACAGGATGTAGCTCGATATAAACTTGTGATGTTTAATTTCTTGCTCTTCAGGCTGAAATTGAAACCGAAAGTGAGAATCTGAAATAAACACTGAGGGACTTTCCTTGCAAGATAAGAGCAGACAATGACAAATACAAATGGATTTATTAAAATCAACGAAAAAAAAAATTATCCTAAGGTGTGTTACACCTTTTGCTATCTTTACTCTTTACTGAATACGGACGAGATAACGGTCTAACAACTTTCAGATTCATTTCCACTTTAAAGACTGATGCTTTGGAGACAAAAACGGAAAGTTAGGACGAGCTGATATTGCTCAGTCTAATGTAATTCTTATAACCATTCTCAAGACACTTGGGAATGCGAATATACTATTTCTTTCAGTCACTACACAGCGTAGTTTGTACGATTTCATCGAAAACCGTGACATCACGGAAGGAAATAAATTCGAGTGTTCGATTAACTCGAGCTTACTGATTTGATAAATGTCACGGCTAAATATATACTCATGTTTGAACACGATGTAAATTTACGGTGTTTAGCCAGAACATCTTGACATCCAAGTAAAACTAAAACTAAGAAACTGTAATAATAACAGTAAAGGGAATTCCCCTGCAAGATGAGGGCAGACAATGACATATGCAAATCGATTGTGCAAAACAGCTAAAGAAAAGAGATATTTTTATGTGTGTAGCTTCTTTGCTATCTTCTTTTTTGCTAAATACAGACGAGACAGCGGTTTAATAGCTTTTAAAATCATTCACATTTTGTTGCTGACTTTTTGATTCCACTTTGAGCTTCCTTTCACAAAAATACTGACGAGAACGGCGAATCTTGCTCGGACTTTTTTAATTCTTCATTCTCATTTTCAAGACAAGGGAAATCGTGAATTTAATTCTTCAGTCAGTCACTACAGAATATATAGTTTGTACGATTTGATGGATGAATTTCTTCATTTCCATTCTAACAGACCGCGACATCGTAGAACCAAACAGCATCGAGTTTACGACTAATCTTTCCTACAGATGTCGCAGCTATATACTTATCTTCGCTTTGAATGTCGCGGCCTTATAATATTCTCAACCGTTAAGGTAAAGGTGACACAATAAAAGCGTAGTTATACTTACCACAGAAAACAGCAAACGTGCGATGTTTAATGGTCTTTAATGTCACGCTCTTGAGATCAAAGTGAAACCGAAAGTGAGAAACTGAAATAAACACGAGGGGACTCTCCCTACAAGATAAGAACAGACAATCACAAATACAATAGGTTTTATGCAGGTGTGTTACACCCTTTGCTATCTTCACTCTTTACTGAATACACACGAGATAACGGTCTAACAGCTTTCAACAATTGAAATCATTTCCATTTTGTAGTGGACTTCTTGATCGAATTTGATCGAACTTCCTGTCTGAGAAACACTGACATGTTTTGAACAGAAAAACGAAAAGTTAAGACGAGCTGATACCGCTCAGTCTAGCGTTATTCTTTACTCCCATTCCCAAGACACTTAAGCATGCGAATTTCTTATTTGTTTCAGTCACTACATAACGTAGTTTGTACGATTTGATCGAAGACCGCGACATCATGACACCAAACAGCTTCGAATTTACAAGTAATCTTCCTTATAAAAGTCCCAACTACATACTTATCTTCGCTTTGCGTATCGCAGCCTTATATTATTATCAACTGGTTAAGGTAAAGGCGACGCAATACGAGAGTAGTTTTACCCACCACACGGTGAAGTCTGCATTGAAAACTGATGATTAAATAACGCAGGTGGTCGCCGAGATCTACATACAGAATAAATTAAGTTTGTACTCACCACCCGGTTGGGATCAACAGAATGAAGACAAAACACACTACGTCGACAACATCAACTGTTTCGAGAAAAATAACAAGGAAAGAAAGTTAAGGTGGCGTAAAATAGTTTCTAGCACTTACATTTTGATGGGTCGTTTTAACCACTATTTCTTACTCGATACTACAATCATGTTATCCAAAAACTGCCCAATCATTGGTGAACACGTTGTTATCATTTTCGTGACAGAATAGTTTACCATAGCAACAGTATGACCTGCTAAGAACACCCTTCATTACAGGGTGAAACCGAAACCGAAAGCGACCAACTGAAATAAACACTCAGGGACTTTCCGTGCAAGATAAGAGCAGACAATCACAAATACAAATAGAGTTGTGAAAATCAACCGAAAAAAAAAAAAAACAATTTATTTTAAGGTGTGTTACACCCTTTGCTATTTTCACTCTTTACTGAATTTAGACGAGATAGCGGCCCAATAACTTTTAAAATCATTTCCATTTTGCTGTGGACTTCTCGATCAAATTTGATCAAATTCGACTGTCAGCTTCCGGTCATAGAGAGACCGACATGTTTTTAAGAGAAAAACGGGAACTTAAGACGAGCTGATACCGCAAAGTCTAATGTAATTTTTATTCCCATTCTCAAGACACTTAAGAATGCACATGCACTATCTGTTTCAGTCACTACACAACAGGTTTGTACGATTTCATCGAAGACCCTGGCGTCGCGGAACCAAAGAGCTTCGACTTTTCGATTAATTAACCGCCGCTTACTGATTTGATGAATGTCACGTATATATATAAGCTCATGTTTGAGCACGATGTAAATTTACGGTGTTTAGCTACAACATCTTGAGATCAACATGAAACCAGAACCAAGAAACTGAAAATAACTGTAAAGGGAATTCCCCTGCAAGATAAGGGCAGACAATGACATATGCAAATAGAATTGTGTAAAACAACTAAAGAAAAGAGATATTCTTATGTGCGTAGTTCCTTCGCTACCTTCGTTTTTTTTTTTTTTTGCTAAATGCAGACGAGATAGCGGTCTAATAGCTTTTAAAATCATTCACATTTTGTTGCTGACTTCTTGATTGGACTTTGAGCTTCCAGTCGTAGAAGGACTGACGTGCTTTAAACTTAAGAACCGCGAATCTTGCTCGATGTTTTTTAATTCTTCATTCTCATTCTCAAGACAAAAGAAATCGTGAACTTAATTCTTCAGTCAGTCACTACATAATATAATGTAGTTTGCAAGATTTGATCGATAAAATTCTCTCTCATTTCCATTGTAACAGACCGTGACATCATAGAACGAAACAGCTTCGAGTTTACGAGGAATCTTTCCCAATAGATGTCGCGGCTATATACTTACCTTCGGTTTGAATATCGCGGCTTATATTACTCTCAACCGGTTAAGGTAAAGGCCACACAATACAGGCGTTGTTTTACTTACCACAGTGAAGTTCGCTTTGAAAACAGAAAACTACGAAACACTCCAGTGTTTCAAAAAATTCCGAGAAAACAGATTAAATAACGCAGGTGGTCGGCGAGATATACATACAGAATAAATTAAGTTCGTACTCACCACTCGGTTGGGATCAACAGAATGAAGACAAAATCAAACTGCGTCGACAACAGCAACTGTTTCAAGAAAAGTAGAAAGGCAAGAAAGTTAAGGTGGCTCAAAACAGTTTCTAGCATTTAGATTTCGATTGGTCGTTTATAGCCACTCTTTATCACAATCACGGTTTCAAAAAAGTGCTCAATCATTGGTGAACACGTTGTTCTCATTTTCGTAATACAATATGTCACCATAGCAACAGTATGACCTGCTAAAAACACCCTTCATTATAGCGTTAGGGGCTTATAATTCAAAAACAGCACGGTGATTTTATTTTTATACATATATATATATTATCAAATTTTAATAAGCATGATGAGACGCTACTTTTGGAAAGTTTAAAAAAACTCTGTTCATGGGATTCATAGCCACCCTAAATTTTCAACACTTTAAGGTGGCTAAGATTATTTATCGACGATCGTTGTTTCATGGAAGCGTTTATTCCTGTGACTTAATTCTCTCACGTGACGATCTGCCAACGTTCACAATTCATGTAAATTTCTCCCGGTGAAATTATTTAATAGTATTTGAAATCGCGTTATACTCACAGTTATAAGCTAATGTTCTGAAGCAGGATGTAGCTCGATATGAACTCTCAGCTTACGGTGTTTAATTTCTCAATCTTCAGGCTGAAATTGAAACCGGAAGTGACCAATGAACTAACAACCGACGGGGCTTCCCCTGCAAGATAAGAGCAGACAATGACAAATACAAATAGGTTTGTGCAAATCAACCGAAAAACAATTTATGCTAAGGTGTGTTACACCCTTTGCTATCTTCACTCGTTACTCTAATACAGACGAGATAGCGGTCCAATAGCTTTCAAAATCCTTTCCATTTTGTTGTGAACTTCTTGATCGAATTTGATCGAATTCGATTTTCAGCTTCCTGTCATAGAAAGACTGACATGCTTTGAAGACAAAAACGGAAACTTAAAACGAGCTGATATCGCTCAGTCTAATGTAATTCTTTATTCCCATTCTCAAGACACCAAAGAATGCGAATTTGGTATTTGTTTCAGTCGGTACATAATGTGGTTGATCGAAGACCGTGACATCACCGAACCAAAGAGCTTCGAGTTTGCGATTAATCTAAGCTTACTTATTCAATGAACTTTACGGCTAATTACTATTGCCAGCTTGTTAAGAAATAGGCCACACAACACAAGATTGGTTTTACTTACCACGGTGAAGGTTGCGTAGAGAAGTGAAAACTACGAAAAAATTGATAGTGTTCCTCGAGATTCCGAGAAAACGGGACACAGTGGGAAGTGCGTCACTCACAATCGAGAGGGAGTGAACACCATAATATTTCTTTGGAAACCAACCTACGTCAAAATACAGCAATTTATTATTCGCGTATTAAATGTTTTTATTTCCCGGAGGCTAAGGTCGTCACAAAACTGCAACGCCTACAGCTAAGGTTATTACATTGAGGACAGTTTATATGTTTGTTTAATTTCAGTCTTTGACTATGGTTGGCCATTCGTTTCAAAATTACGACATGGTATACGCGGGTTTTTCTGCCGCGTATATACGCGGCAGAAAAACCCGCGTATACCATGTCGTAATTTTGAAACGAATGGCCAACCATATTTGACAAGGCATGTTCTTAGTAATAGTGTGGAATTTTTCGATAGACGTCGAGTATCAGGAGAACAAAGGAGTAAATAGCGGAAACTAATTATGATTTTTTCCTCCACATGTCATTGCAGCCAGTAGCTATGGTAAGCTACAATAAATTAATAACAAGAAATTTTGCTGCCGTGTTGCAATGGGCTTAAAATCTGGTTAAACTATCCTGGCTGAAGATGAATATACATTCTTTGGCAATCGGTATGGGGGCGGGGGGGGGGTTGCTTTAAAATTAATGTCAGGATAAGGAATGCAATAGAATAAGCAAATAACTCTGAGGAGCTTACATAATAAGCTCAAATAGCACGAAAGACACCCTAAAATTATAGTCAGTGTCCTTATTTCATTACTCGTACAGTGCCTCCCTCCCTCCCTCCCTCCAGCAGGGTAACGTGGCACACGCGTGGGAGGTCTTTGTAATGGATTGGAAGGTTTTCCAAAAGATTTGTAGCCTGCGTATTCTCAAAACAAACTGACGAGAAAGAGCGGGGAGGGGGGAGGGGGATTTAAAAGCTTGTGGAAGCAGAGTCGAGAATTTTAGAACAATCTTCTAAACAAAGGGAGTGACAATTTTCAGAACTTCTCAGATGTTTAAGGATGTGGGAATGTTAGGGGTATCGAATGGTCCCATTCAATTTAAAAGTGCTCGCAAAATTGGGCCTTTGCTCGAGTTGCTCGCAAAAATTAGACGAGTGCTCGCTTGTCAGAGCTCGTAAAATATTCGCAACTGCTCGCATTCTCGGATTCTGGAGTCTAGTAGCATTTAGCTTCTTCACGTGGATAGAAACTGGCTTTAGATCTCCTTGAGCGTTATTCCACTGACTTACGTGAAACTAAGCGGGGTAATTTGGTATCAAACAAGGCATAACTGGTTGTTAGCGCATTAGGCAGCTGAGATTGGCTGAGCCGCGATAAGATTCTAACATGTTGCCTCTAGCTTTGTGCTTATTGTCCTGAGTTTGGAAGTGTCAGCCAGATTACTTGGCGCAAAACATTTTTTCTTTTAATTTAAAAGAGAGATTCCAGCCAGCGGAAAATTTACGAAGTGCTCGCTGCTCGCCATCTGTATTTTCTGAAGTGCTCGCTGCTCGCAAGAGAGATTTGATCACTGCTCGTGCTCGCAAAAATAAACGCACTGCTCGCATGCTCGCAAATGCTCGCAAAGACCATTCGATACCCTTAATGCTTGTCAGAGGAGAGATGTTCGCGGATGCGAGTGGCGAAGTGTCTGTTGGTTTCACCAGCATAACAGGCACTACAGCCTGCACGTGAAAACTTGTAATTGACTCGAGATCGTAAATCCGCAGGGATAGGATCCTTGACCCCAAAACAATTACTGATTTTAAAACGGGTGAACACCAACTTAATGTCTAGGTCAGTGCAAAAAGTGCTAACTAATTGCTAATTGCTAATTGCGTTGCGTTGTGATAGAAAAAGGACCCATGCACATTCTATGGGAGCAGCCGTCTTTAAATTCCCAGGTCAATCATCCTAATTTATCCCTTTCGTACTAATTAGTCTCCTTTCTTATATAGTTTTACCCTGTTTTGGTTCGCGCCTTCATCCTAATTATTCTTGCTAATATCTCACTTTGTTATACTATTTATTGCATATTTTCATTTTATTTGTCATTGTACAACTGAGGTGTACGATTTCGCATCCGAAACATGTATTTTCTTCATTAAATAATGAACTTCAAAAACATCGTGTGGTTCATCAAAGGAACAATAATAATAATAATAATAATAATAATAATAATAACAACAACAATCATCATCATCATCATCATCATCATCATCATCATCATCATCATCCTCATTAGATGATGTCCACAAATCAGAGCCAGAATGGCACGGAAGAGCTCAGCAACAGTAGTTCACAGGCCGTAGCAGCGAAAGAAAAATCCTATCAGAAATGGACCAAAGAAAGGGTCTGGGTCGAAAACCATGAGTTGATTGAAACCGAGGAATAAGTAACGTGACATGCTGTAAACAAACAGCGCGGAAGCGGCAGCGCAGGGCAGATAATTTTTGTCGAGTCCGACAAATAACGGACGATGTTATCATCGCTGCGGATGAACCCTTGATCAGTTCTCGCTCATGGTTTCCACGCTTTGTAAATGCAACAATCCGATTTCGTCTCGAGTTTGCACTAATCTCCATAAAATCCTCAAACCTTCAATACGGCCCGATAACTATATGAGATTATGTAATATTTAATATTGCATTATCTCACAAAAAGGAAAAATTGGCTTTTGCTTTGCTAGGAAAACAAATTAAATAAAGTTGGTGCGACTGAGATATTTTTACGAAATGAGACGGAAATTCGCAAAACAGTTCTTGAAAACTTTACTGACCTTGCTTCCACACGGGTGGGATCTTCATCTACTGCGTCGTGTTCTCTTTGATTTTTTATTTGACACACTGCTATGTTAGTCTGCTCTATCAATACTTCATTGCGTTGGTCGAATTTTTAATTTTATTTAAAGAAATGTTTTTTTTGTTTACAATACGCTGCTGTTGAAAATGATACCGAGTTTTCAATTTTAATTTGAAAAACGTTCCTGTTAGTACGTTTCTGCTAGTTGATGAAAAGTTTCGGGTTTAGCCGGACACGGCGCATAATTAATTCCTGAAGCAAGAATTGACATTTAAAATTGCTTTCTGGCATAAGGACATAAGCGATAGGTGTTTTCACTTGTTAAAGAGTGGTTCAATCATGGTTATCAAGTTACCACACGTTACTGGACCATTGATTGGAAAAATACTATATTGATCCTTGGTCTCGCTATGGTGGCTGGGAGTGGGTTCGTTGCTTTGTTAGCGGCTAGAAGTTTTGTGGTGGTCGCTACTTTCAGGGGGTGGTTACTTTCGAAATTCTACGGTATGTGCGTTATTTGTAACACTCTCCTCCCTACCGACAGAGATTCAGCTTTTGTTTCACGCCACCGTAATTTTAGGCCGATACACACGAGGAGTTTTGCTTCTAGGTTTTGCTGCCCCGGAGGGGCGGGGGCGAGAGTACTCCGAGAAAAATTTGGTTGGGGTATGCGGCCCGCTTCCCAAAACCCTTACCCTATTTATGACCAAATTCTGCGATTTTCAATACCCTATTTATGACCTGACCCTAAATCAATACCCTGTTTCAGACCTGCCTTATAATTAGTATCCTAGTTCAGACCGACGTTAAAGACATCGTGAAGGGCTTTTGTTGATCGGTCTTTTCGATAATAATGAAAAAATAGCTTCTTCTTAAAAAACTAGATTGCAAAAACCAGACTCTATTAATGATCAAAGTGACTAAAATTGATACCCTATTTATGACCAAAATGGCTAAAAAAACTATACCCTATGGAGCCGTAGAAACCTATACAGCCCATGTAAGGGAGTACCCCCCACCCCGGGTTTTGCTCCAACGGCACGCTCCGGGAAAGCTCCTCCGTGTGTACCAGCGATTTCATAGGCGTAATTCATTCTTTCCAGCCTACAAAATGTTCCACAACATTAAAGCGGTTCAATATATGTAAGCTTCCGCACCATGCTCCCCAATGTGAACTACAGTCGAACCCAGTTAATACGACCACCTTCAGGCCATGGAAAATTGGTCGCATTAACGGGGTGGTCGTATTAAAGGGGTGCTTTAAATAAGAAAATGACTGACTGAGCTTTTTTGGGCCAGAATAAAGTGGCCGTAATAAGGTGGTCGTATTAACCGGTGGTCGTAAGGCGGGGTTCCACAGTAATCGTGCAAATGATGGCGCGGTTACTCATTCGGCATTATGCGGGAGCCTGGGTATGACTCATCATAAAAATG